AGTCTATAGATGTTACCATTAATAATATCTTTATTGAAACATTTTCAGTACTTTCAATACATTTGTGTTTTCTAAACATTTGAAATGGTTTTCCATTAAAAAAAAAACATTCCTATGAATATTAGTATAGTTGCCTACCTGGGATGAAGAACAATGGCCACAGTGTACGGAGGTTCCTCTTCAGTGGTGCCAAACTTCCTCTAACCTGCTAAGGCAGCTTTTACTGTTCCCATTCCAAGGTCTACATCTACTTTTCACTCCAAAAGATGTTTCAGTGTGATGACGGATGGAATGACGTCGTGGCAGTCGCTGCAGGGACTGGTTTCCTTTGCAAGTTCCCCGAAATTTGCAAGTAGTGTCAACGCATTCTCAGTGAGTCCTCACTGATGTATGTTTAGTGGAGCTGGCAGGTAATATTCTGTCGCATTTACCCCCAGAGCACGTTTCTGTTCCATCAGACTTTGCAGCATATATTATGTGCTATTCCATCTGATAGGAATATCTGGCTCCAATCTCTTCTTGGGCTGGCCTAACTGTGTCTGGATATCATAAAGCCATGAATATGCGACGGGTCTTTAAAGCTTTGCTGGGCATCCCTTCATTGACAACTAACTGCAAGGTATGCACCATGCATGGTAAAGTCTGCAAGTTTTCCTTGTCCATTCCCATTGACATGTATCTTGCATTATCATGCACAATAACATGAAATTAGTTTTTTTCAACGTGGCATGTTTGAAACATTTTTTTTTTTTATCTTTGATCCTGACATCTCTTGTGAAAGTAAAAGCACTTTGTATGGCTCAAGGTTTTCATCAACTCATTGTGCAATCAAGTTTAACCTTGACATTAAGTTAACATCTGAGGTCCAGATATCAGTTGTAAAATTGATTGATTTGACATTACCACTCAGAAGATTGTCTACATGACCCAAAAGAAAATAAAAATTCAAACAATTCAGGCAGAGTAACATCCAAAAAAATGTGCTTGCTTGAAAATGTATTTTAGGTTCATGTAATTTATTAAGTTTCAAATTGCTTGGTTTTCACTGACTGAGAAAGGCTGGTCATCTAATGCTATAAATTTCATTATCTTTTTTTGTTAGACCCTTTGCCTTTTCTTGTCCAAAGGCCCAGGGTGGATCGCTGCATACCTTCAGAGATGGCCAGCTTTCACAGACGATGCTCTTGCAGTTTTAGCCACTTTGCTAGTCTCTGCTTGTTGAGACAAATCTTTATATTCACCTGGGTGATGGTTCCACAAATGCCAAATTAAATTTGTTGTTCCATTTGTCCTTGGGGTAGTTACTTCACAGATCATTTTTTTCTTTATATATTTTACCCAAGGTAAATTTAATGTCTTCATCCTACACTGTAAAGAATTTCCAAATGAGAGACATGCTTCCAGTAGGTGTTTTAGTGCACTTATCATGCAGCATTGGGGGGGGTGCAGTTGGTTAGGCGCAGGGGGCACAACTGTGCATGGAAACAGAGTTGGAACTAAAAGAAATGTTAGTTGGTCAGTTACTTGATCGGCTCATAAAATCGGCCATATTTAGACTACTTACAGCACCAATCAGGCCGAAAATCGGCCATTTCTGATCAGTGCATCCCTATAAAAAACATTTCTAATTATAGCCCTCTGTAACATTGAAACAATTTACTATTGCCTTGTTAGCACCAGCCCTAATGTGCCAAGGAGAATTTTTCAGGAGAACTGTAAGGCCCCAGTGTCCTTGCTGAGAGCCAAACCCACCCCACAGCACATTCCTACATTACGGGCCTTATTAAGGAGACATCCATAGGGGATGAGTTTCACAAAATGGTTTTCTGCTCACATTTTTTCCATTAATGATCAGTGTTGAAGGGAATACTTTAGGAAAAAAAGAAGCATTTACACATTTTCAATTTATTCAATTCGATTCAATTCAATTAATTTTTATATAGCACCTTTCACAACAGAGTCGTCCCAAAGCGCTTTACATGGATGTGTTGTGATACATTAAACATCATTAGAGAGAGTAATACAGAACAGGAAAAAGGAAGGAAAGAAACTGAATAAAGAAAGTCAGATGACAACAGAGGAGAGGAAAGAAACCTCTGGGGGTCCAAGATCAACTGGCTGCCCCCCCCCGGGCATAGTGACATTACTGAAAACAGAAAAGAGTGTAAGCTGTGATTAAGGATCAAGACAAAGTCCATCAATGAGTCTGTTCTCCACACTGGCCTGTGTACGGTGGCACTGAAGGCTGCTCCCACGATGATACAGTTCGTAGGTCCCATTCGCAATGTCACCTCTCCACCACGGGAACATTTTCTGTCGCTAATAAAAAATATTAACTACAAGTACTGGATGGATCACCTGTAAATGTGAAAATGAATAAATGTATTCTTACCTGAATGCTAGGAGTCCTTATTGTACTATGTAGGTGTGAAAGTACACATATTCATTTATTGCACATTCTATTCATATGGCAATTTACAGAATCTTTCAAAAAGATGGTTACATGTATTGCGTTGCGTGTGTTTTATTGAAAATATAATTCATATTGTTTATATTGTTATATGTTTAAATATTTATATTATATTTCTCTTTTGCACTGTAACCAGCATTTTCCATGACATAACAGTAAGAACCGATACATTATTGGTACAAACGGAGCCCCGTAGGGGCCAAAAAACGTTTTTTTTTCTTCACAAGCTGCAGTTTGAGAATCACTGACCGGTACAATGTTCCAGCTTGTACATAGATCCAAGAAATGCTTTCAGATGGCAGATGGCCATGTTCACAAGATGCCAGCTGCAGGCTCCGTGTTCACTCTCGGCTGCCCTCTGTCTTGCAGTTCCAATGTTGAGCTGATTCTGAAGTGTCCATTGTCAGCTGTAGATTTTATAAAAACAAATAGGCTGATCCAGTTCTCGGAGATAAGCCTCTACCCATCTCATCTTCTCTTAGCTGTCATTAAGCGCCGTTGCTTCAATTTTGATGTGATTTGTCTCAAAATGTGAAGGGGTCTAGATCTTCACCCATACAATGAGCCTGCAATGTTTGGAAAAGATCAGACAAAGATCGCACAATAATTTTTGAGGTATCGCACTCATAGTATCAAATGTCATAGTATCTCGTAGTATCGAATGTCCAAGGATGTGCAGTGGCAGAAAGCTAGCGGCAGCTGCTAACATTTAGCACTTTTTTGTAATGCAGGAGAGGCACCATCTGACATAAAGAAAAACTTCGTATTTTGTACAGTTCCCAGCCTTTTTTGTAAATTTGTATGTTCGTGATCCCTATAGAAGGAGGCAAAGGCCGGAACAAATCCCTCTTTGAACCTCCTAATGCAGACAATAACACAGTAAGTAGGATAGCTGATGTGTTTGAGCTCAAGTTCATGTTTTATAAAAATGGAAGATATGCTCCCCAACAAGATATAAATTATACATGGGCCTGTGTAAAAACTGCATTCATAAATATTCATCCTTTCTGTTGAATTATATACAAGTTTTACAGAAAAATCCATGTATTTCAGAGCTCCCAATTATCAATCGCGGAGTTCATGGTGTTAGGAGAACTGCACACTGGACACATCTGCAAACACTTTGGCCAGCTGCTGTGTTCTCTACGTCTAGATCTACTTGGGGTTTAGATAAATACCCACTACTTTATTCCTGCGAATTACCAGGTGCAGTTGCTAACTTTCATTTTGATAAACAAGCTTTGTTTGTAGAGGGCATAATGGGCAATCTGATTTACCATATCCCTCCAGCATCTAACCAATTATCCTGGATGGGGTCATGAGGCCGTCCCTGGTAACATGGGTAACGCAGCAGAGATACAGCCTGAATGGGATGTCAGTACTTATGGACACACATTCAAACCCACAATGCTGAAAGCACAAAGCGATTGTGCAGCCCGGTGAACCACCATGTCCAGCGCATTGTAGCTGTTATACGTGCATAATTAAATTAAATTCACAGTGGGGTCTGCTCTCCCATCAGGTGCTTATGTCAAAAAAAGGACTTAAAAAGTTACACGCTTTTGATGTACATGTATTTTCCCCTCATCAGCACAGTCATGCCCACCTAGTGTCATCCAGAAAAGAAGATGCAGTCCTGCAAGAAGTCTAGTTTATTAAGCAAGACATGGGGGTTATACCCTCAGTGATACTGGCAACAAGCAAAACGTGGAATATGGTTCGTTTGTGTTGTGAGCCTAACTGAAGTCCACAAGAAACATTTTATTTTGAAAATGAAAGCATGGTGATAGCCTAGTACACTGATATCCGGGCATTCCCAGGAACATGAGAATCCTTTGACAGAAAGAAACTTGTACGGTGCAGTGCAGCATTTGAAATTTGTGCATAGCAAATGACAATACCTTATTAGGGAGCTGACACAGTGCTGCAGTGCTCAGCACTGTCACCTCACACTGCTGGGTCTGGGATCCAAATCTCTACCCTGACTCCCGTGGGTGGAGCTTACATGATCTTTCCATGTCTTCATGGAGGGTTTCCTTTGGGTTCTCGTGTCCACCCACAGTCCAAAACCATGCCAAGGTGTTTTGGAGTTACTAAATTGTGAATGGTATCTGTCCCCATAATGTCGTAAAAATCTGATATTTTGATTGTGGGGACCATTTTTTTGGGTGACCTGAAGTGTATGTTAACCCCAAACTTAAGTCAACATGCTTAAGTCCAAAAAGTGCGCAGCAACATGCTTTTTTGGCTTAAGTTAATGGGAAAATTGACCATGATTTTTAAGTATTTCATGATTTGTGTTATGTGGTAGCAATGAATAACGTGGAATAGCATCAAGAAAAATTTTAATGTAGGAATTATAACTGTAACATCGTAATAACTGCCAAACTAGTTCTGTTACATGAAAGGGACAGCATGGCTACCTACAGCATTTCTTTGTATTTACTGGAACAGGATATTCTTTTGACAGAATTCAAAATTACATAGTGAATGCAGCATAATTTAACCCTCTTTATTTTCTGCCTGACAGGAGTGTGGTCTCCATCCAGACCTCCTTTCAGGAAGAATGTGCCACCAACGTGAGTCACTACCATGGCTGACTGCGTTCAAAACGCAGCGTTGGCGTTGGGTTAACTGAAATGCTGAAATGGTATGGACATGCACCTGCTCTTTTAGCAATCAAGGAACATTATGTTAAAAATGCACTTCACCAACATGTATGGATAATGTCAAACACCAAAATGGGCCATACACTACTTCCTATACCAAAACGGGCATACAGAACATAAAGACAAGTCTCACTGACTATCCCAATAAAATCCTTCCTTTTGCCAAATTAAACCAAAATAAGTCTTTAATATCCATGAATGCATTAATGCATCTCCATTTCTGTCTCTTCAGGAAGAAATATCAGCCAACTATACAGAAAGGTGTCTCCTTATAAAATTATAATATTTGTATATGAATGCCTTTTAAAGACTGAAGCCATTGAATTATGGCCAGAGACCTTTTACGATTCAAGACCTTAAGCTAAACATGAGAATTCAGTGCTAGATTCTATGCACCTATGAGTACTCACCTATTCTACTCATGTCATTTATGCATTAATGTAATAATACTTATGAGCCAAAATTAATGGAAGAACTACATACTACAAAGGGCAGAATAAATGTGGTTTAATTACCATTTACATATTTACGGATCAGATAGTTATGAATTTGCCTTTTATTTTAAATTAATAACAATATATTTACAACTAGCATTCATGCACTTAAAAACTCTGGGTCTATTCTCCCATTAGTCACATGAACAGGGGTGCCATACTGGGAGGTGGGATTCCAAGGGCCCCTGTGTTGAACATAATATAATTAGTCTGGGTTGGGGGGCAAATATGATATACTTTCATGCGGCCCAACATCTCTAACGACATCCCTGTGCATAAGTCATAAAAGTGTATCAAAAAATCATTTGCGTTTCCGTTAAGCGTATTCTTCCCTCATCAACACCGTGCATAACTCGACAGAGAAGGCACGGCCAAGCAAGATGTCTACTTAAATGAATAGGGAGTTACACCCTCGCTGATTTTGGCAGCAAGCGAAACATGGAACAATGACACTTTAATTTGCATTGTGAAATCCGCAGAAACTATTTTATTCTGAAAATGAAAGCATGTTGTTAGTCTACTATGCTTATTTTTGGTGATTCCTATAAAGATGAGAATCCCTTGGCTGCTGGACGACGTGTTTTTATTCCTTTGCTTCGTTATATGATTATTAGATTAGTATCTGTTCAATATCTTCAAGTGCTCAGCAGTGGTACTGAGGAAGAATGGATCCTTCCTTCTCAGGAGGGGTGAATGCATTTAGTTGTGTTAAAAGGGGGGGGAGTGTGGAGGAAATCTGTGAAGGCCTAGAAATGAACACGGCTTGCATGCCTCACTGTTGTGGGCCTACAGGCCTTGAGCGCAGTGCCATAAATTGTCTTTGCCGGTAATGTCTTCTGGTATCTTGTAGCCGCGACCCTGAGACAGTGGGCCTCTTTTTCTCTGTTTTGACTGGCCTTCCTCCCTTTTCCGTGAGTCTGGAGGATCGCCTTGTTATTAGGCAAGGTGCTATGCCAGGCCTAGGTCTATGGGAAAGTTCTGTCTATGAGAAAGTTATTTCTCTAGCATCTTAGAGATGATGTAATCCACTCCGCTCAGATGGCCTCTGTCCCAAGCAAATTGTTTACCTTTGCCCACAAAGTTTATTGCCTTGACCCTGGTTGATGTGCATGTGGAGCCGGTTCGAACAGTTTGGGAAACTTACTTTGATACTTTACCTTGATTATTAGACTGATTGTGTAAGAAAATATTCTCTTCATATATGAATCAGGTTTCCAGCTGGAAATTCCTGCAACACCTGTTCCCAAGCTAGAGATGTAGCGTGCGATACTTTCTACTGATGCTGGGCAATGGCAGCATCCACGCTTCCAGTCTCTTTAGCGATCAGGAGAGGAAACATCTCACAGAGTGTTTAACAACTTATCGGTCGGAGGTTTTTTTTCTGTGTTTAACCAAATAAGAATGTATTCATCTAGTTACAACTTTTAATAACAAAGAAGAGCAGCTTATAAAAAAGTGCAAATAGACCCACAACAGTCAACCAGAGTTGAATTAACATAAACATATCCATATTATAAAAAGTATTGCAAAGCAATAGTCCTAAACAAAAACTTCTTTCCAATCTTATTTCCAATATTGTTTTTAACGTAAACCAAATAAAAATACCTGAATCAATTAAATAAATCCGTATTTACCGCCTCTCCCTTCTCGTTCGGTCGAAACCCGAAATACTGCCAAACTGCAGAAGTTGTGTTCTTTTTCGAGACCAGTGGCCTGTACTACGAAGCGGGGTTACTGGCTTATCGGGGTAACTTGTTGGATTTAAGGTAGTCTGGGCAAAATGTAAGTGAGCGAATATGAAGTCCATTTAAACTGTGGTACCTTAAATCTGACAAGTTACCCCGATAAGCCAGTAACCCCGCTTCGTAGTACAGGCCACAGGTCACTTGGTGCGCGACTCGTCATCTTTCCCCTCCTCTCTATTTCTCCTCCACGCTGTCATGTGATGACAACCACGCATACGCATTTTTAGGCATTAAATAAATTGTATTTCATATTTAATCCGTGTCTCCTATATAAGTGCATTGTTTTTATGACGGTATAATGGTATTGAAACTGATACCGTTGCTATTTTTAGATCCCGCGGTATACCATATTACCGTATTACCGCCCAAGCCTAAGTACTGGGGTTATGACCGATTTTTTACAATCCACATTACATTACTCATATGGCTAATGCTTCACTGGTATACATGCAGAGAACATCTTTGCAATGTTTTAGAAGGCATGAAAATCCTTTAAATTTATTGATCTATCCAGAGGCAAGTGAATATGTCCCCATGGTATTTTAGCATTAAGCACAGTAGCTGAAAGCGTAGTCGGAGCTGTCACTTGTGGCATGTTGTTTTTGGCTCTCATTAGGGCCAGAAGAGGGTTGCAGATGTATTATGAAGGATCCACTGGGTATGAGAGGTGTGGGCGAGCAAGAAGCATACCTTAGGGGAAAGGGAAATCTGTGCCATTGAACTGCAGAGGAGCCAGTCATTTTATAAAAAGGTATAAATCTTCAAATGTATTAAGGCTTAACGGTTTATGGCCAGCCATGACATCTCTGGAATAAAAGATGCAGATCAGCTGACCCAGTTTTGCTTTGCAGGTAGCGATTATATCCTTGTTCTTTTTGCTCTCCTCCTAGCCGAGTGGAAGGCAGGTGGGAGGATCAAACGCGCTTAGAGTGCAGCCATGAAGTATACACCTTATCAAAATCACATCATGAAAAACAAAATTAATTATTTACACAAAAACAGTAGAGGGGAGGTTGAATGATTCATGGAAGCAATTTGGGTCCAAGCGAAAAGAGAAAAAAAAAAAAACAAGTCTATTGAAGTTGCTTCCAATAGGACAGTGTTTCAGAACTGGGCTTACAGTTAAATTTCTTGTGCGGAACCTTGACATGGAACTGAAGCTGCTGTCTTTCAGAAGGTGCAGAACATGCCATGCTTCAGAGCCTGCCCATATAAGTTGTATAAGTTGCTGTTGACAACAACATCGATTATGCCAAAAAAAGAACAAGCACTGCTGGGTTTTATATTTCATTGCCAAAGGTATGTTTCCTATGTTACATCTTAGAGAACAGAGGCCAGAGAGTGGCTGACTTTATAGTTGGAACATAACTGCTACTTTCTTCTTCTAGGTTGATATTAGCAGCACTCCTGGGCTGGTTCTAATTAAGCTGTGAAACAGGTTGATATCTACACATTTAGCTGCTTAAGGTTATATAAGGAGCTCACTGAATACCATATGTTCTGCTTTTTTGGTTTATCTTCACAGGAGATGACCTGCTGAACCAATGGTTTGGGTAGCTGAGATACATGGGTCAAAGGTTTAATAAACCCCAACTGAACATCTGCTTCATTAAAGATGGACTGCATGGACTTATTTCCCTTTTGAATGTTGGTAAGAACTAATTTATTCATAGAATACTGAATCTTTTGTTTGCTAAGGCCAAAGATCCAAGTATGTGTAAGATGGTTAAGTAGTTTTTAAAGTTCTTATGAGGCCATGATAAATTTTTTTGACTTCCTTTAGGGCAGTGAGTCAGTCTGTTAGAATTACAGATGAGCAGAACATCAAAGGTTCCTTTTAGGTGATTTTTTGGGGTTTCTTACAGTGTACTATTAATTAATGACAGAGATACTGGCAAGTTCATAACACAGAACTGCTATCAGTGATTTAAAGAGATCATTAAAAATGTCTGTCCTTTGATGTCTCAAACAATACCAGAGCTGGTGTGGTAAGTCTTACAATAATCCTACACTACATGAACAAAAGTATTGGGACACCTGGCCATTACACCTACAGGGACACTTACGACATCCTATTCCAAATCCATAGGCAGCAATATGGAGTTGGTACCTGCTTTACTACTATGACAGATGCCACTCTTTTGAGAAGGTTTTCCACAAGATTTTTGAAGAGCATTTGTGAGGCCAACCACTGATGTTGGACGTGAACGTCTGGCTCCATTCTAGTTCATCCCAAATGTATTCGATGGGGTTGAGGTCAGGGTTCTGTACGGACCAATCAAGTTCTTCCACAACAAAGTCACCAAACCATGTCTTTATGGACCTTTTTTGTGTACTGTGGCACAGTCATGCTGGAACAGAAAAGGGCCACAAAGTTGGAAACATAGTGTTGTCCAATATATCTTGGTATGCTCAAGCATTAAGAGTTCCTTTTGCTGGAACTAATGGCCCTAGCCCAACCCCTGAGAAACAACCCCATAACATTATCCCTCCTCCACCGAACTTTACAGTTGGCACAATGCAGTCAGACAGATAACGTTCTCCTGGCACCCATCAAACCAGGCTGGTCCATCAGACTGCCAGACAGAGAAACGTGATTCGTCACTCCACAGAACATGTTTCCACTGCTCCAGAGTCCAGTGGCGATGTACTTTACACCACTCTGTGGTGATGTGAGGCTTACATGCAGCTGCTCGGCCATGGAAGCCCATTCCATGAAGCTCCCAGCGCATAATATTTGTGCTGGAGTTAATGCCAGAGGAAGTTTGGAACTCTGCAGTCAACATGGTGTTGGCGACTTTTATGCAGTATACGCCTCAGCAATTGACGACCCCCCTCTGTTACTTTATGCGGTCTCCCACTTCGTGACTGAATTTCTGTTGTTCCTAAATGCTTCCACTTTGCAATAATACTGCTTAAGGTTGACCAGGAAATATGTAACGTAAGAAATTTCACGAACTAGCTAATTGCAAAGGTGTCATCCTAGGACAGCACCACCCTTAAATTCACTGAGCTCTTCAGAATGACCCATTCATTTACAAATGTTTGTAAGCCTGACTAAATGGCTAGGTGCTTGATTTTATACACTTGTGGCAATGGGTCTGAATGAAACACCTGAATTCAATGATTAAGAGGTGTGTCTAATACTTTTGTCCGTATAGTGTATGCAGTTTTCAGTGGCCACTTTATTAGGTAGACCAAGCTAGTACTGGTTAGGAACGACTTTTGCCTCCAGATCTGCCTTAATCACTGCATTTGGCATAGATAAGTTGAGCCTTCAGAGATTCCTTTTTGCACACCAGTGTCATTTTTGAACTTTTGGTTTTGCACCTCTGGCCTGTCTATTAGCTTTAATAAGTCAAGTCCTTCCCCTCTGTCCTCCCTGATTAACATGGTGTTTTCACCACACAGCTCCCACTGACTGAAAGTGTTTATCTATCACACCATTCTCTGTAAACTCCAGGCACTGTAACCTATGAGAAGTTGTCCAGGAGGGTGGCTGCTTCTGAGATACTTAGATACTTATGTTATTCATATTTATGAATAACAATCACAACCAGCCACACCGTAACTGGACCTCTGGACCATATGTGTCCCTTATGTATTCAGCTACAGCCATATGAACTGCTGTTTGGAGGAGCAGGTGTTTACATGAGCAGGTGTTTGCAATAACAAGCATTACCTATGGACAATGACTGTTAATGCGGCTGCTTGGTTCCTGTTACACACGTATAATCTAAACCATGTGCAATATCTCACAATCTCATATTTCCTACAGTCTTCTTTATCTTAGGATGATGAAAGGTACTTGGCTCTTTTCTCCATTTGACGTTAGCCCCCGTCTCATAATGAAATCGCATCTCATAGCCTGATCCTTCTTTGGCCTCTTCTGTTTTAGCATAAGTTTTTATAGATTTTTCAATTTTTATTTAGACATACAAAAGGACATTTATCCTCTTAGCAGAAGCTGCCGATGGATTAACGGTTCAAATTCCTATGTATACATCTTCTAAATCCCTGTGCATAATTTTCTTATCTCTGCCAGTGGAAGGATCTAGCTTTGTGTAGCTCCAGTCCTGTAATACACCCGAGCTTCTCGGGTTCACACAAATCCGGGGCTCTCGTGCCATGTGTTTGTGGGAGCAGCGTGTCCTGCGGGCTCCTGCGTTGGGGGGTTTCCAGGTAAACCTTGGCCTAACAGTACACCTGCTGGACTCTCTGCAGGTTGTGGTGATGAGTAAGTAGCAGTTACTGCTATCTGTGTAATGCTTCCGGCTCACCACGGAGTTCTCAGCTATACTGTGCATTTCTGGGCCTACCTCATCCTCCCTTTGCCCTTTTGGTTCTCATTCCAGCACACAGCGGGGATCCATGGATTGCTGTTCTTCGTTAATCTACTTCCCTAGGGCTCCCTCCTGGCTGGTCAACCTCTTGCCCTTGCCTTTGTAGCCAGGAGACACAACTCACATCAACAAAACTGCACTCCAGACCCCCCTATTCCTTAGCCAGCTGTAACTTCAACAGCAGGGGCTATCAGAAAAGCAGACATACACACAGCACTGTCAAATGGGCCTCAAAAGAGACTGAAAGGAAGAATCTGGTCACCAGAGTGGGTACTTGTGCTATGTGATGTAGGGACTTTGTGGTAACAGGAGAGGAGGAGTGATAGTTCCCAGTAGTGCAGTGAATTTTAGTGCCAAAACCATCAAAAGATAACAGTCTGCATTAACAAGAGACTTGGAAAACCTCATCAGGAGAATTGTAATTGTAATTGTACCATCAATGGTAGTATTCGGTGTTTTTTCTGATAGTGTATAGTGCCACATCCCTGCTGGATTTCAGTCACAACATTCATTAGAGCTATATTATTCTGCTTTTACAGTGATAATATCAGGCATTCTAGAGGTTGGTGAACCTACATTGTACTGAAATGCTGAAAATACATAGAAACAAACACTGGGACAGGGTTTTCTCTATTCCAATTCCTTCTGAGACTCAGTGTGTCAGACTGGAGTGTAAATGCAGTCATGTGGGCAGAGGCTATATGGGAGAGCTGTTTTCAGTGCTCAGGAAGCGGATACCTCTAATGCACTGAGTGGGCGGGCACTTTTCCCTGTGCTTCTTTACCCTGAATCTGCAGCAGCTCTTATGTTGCACAAATAGACCTAGTGCATCACACAACATTGTAACAGATTCCCAGGTCAAAATTTATGTCTGCCTTTTTTTAGGAGGGTGGTGGGCATATATGCCACTGACACATGTGCTAAGTGTATGCATGTGGGGGTTTATAGGTGTGAGTGAGTTATCATTTTAGTCAACTGTTTTATTCAGAGTAACTCAAGGTTTCTGCTATTGATACTTTTGAATGTTTTCCCAGATAAAATGTGATCTGGCAACAAGGTCCAGCCTGGAATTCGAATTCCTTTGGTATACTGGTCTCTGTTTCTAATTGCTATGCTATTTTTGTCATGATCTGCCTCCGTTTTCCCATCCTTTTCCTAATTGGCCAGCAGATGCCACTGCTAGCGATCCTGTATCCTCCTCTCGTTTCCATTTCCCACAGCTGTTTTCCATTACCTGTGATTAGTCAGTGGATATGGTTAGTGATGGCCAAATGAAGCTTCGTGAACCATTAGCTGTATTTTTTGACCCCACTAGATGGTGCTCTTGGTTTACTTTGGGACATACTTTGAGCCCTTTTTTCAACAGAGAGCACCATTCAGTGGTGTCAGAAGCATAAAGAGAATTTCTCCACAGGGACCGATGAAGTATCAAGCCTGAGTAATTTTTATGAAGGGACATTCATCAAATTGTGCTACCACTTGCATTATAAACTCCCCATCATTCCCATTCCAGTTTGAGCATATTTGCATGTGGTGAAGCATCTGACCTGGCATCAGACTACCTGGTTTCCTTATGTAGCCTGCAGGCCATGCAGGTGTCTGTAGAATGCAAAAAGGACTCTTATTTAAACAGCTGGAAGTCAGTATCTCCAGCCCTCTCTCTTTGCGCTATGAACTGCTAAATTCAGACATACTTCAAAGGCATCCCTGCAGTACTCACCCTTCAGTAGAAAGATCAAACCAAGTCGTCCTAGTGCACATGATGTCGGTGACTAAACAGAATTTTTTTGTAGACTTTTTGGATTTTTCCATAATGAAGAAAACCGACAGGAGCCAAATGAATAAAACAGTATGGAACATAACTGCACTTTCACTTTTGTGGGGCTGAACACTTTCTCATTAGAGCAATAGCTCAGAAAGTATTTCACAGATTGTTTTCAATCTGTGTAGATGTATTGTTTGTGTGAACTAGAACGGGTCACATTTTTTGATAAACTGCACCAAAATTGAAGCAGCGCCACTTGGTGGCAACAAAGGGAAGGGTGACAGCAGACAGCGTTTGACACCGTGAATCTGATAAGTTGAAAAGTATTTGATGGATATTACTACTGCTTCACAGAAATATTATATGGATGAATATCTTCACCTGATTTCATTTTGAGACAAATCACACTAAAATTTAAGCATCAGTACTAGGTGGCAGCAAGGAAGGGAAAGGATGACTGTAGAAGACATTTCATTTTGTGAGAACAGTAATTCTGAAAGTATTTAATGGATCTTTTTCAGATTTCCCAGGAACTTTGTATAG